CTGGATGACAGAGGTACCAGACGGAACATCACTAAACAGGTTAGGATACTTCTATCAAGTCAATCACATCCTGAAGCTGATCGCTAGATAAATAAGATAACTGACATGGTAAAACTCTTAAAACCTCTGAATTCTGTAGATGACCACAATTGAACATTTCCATGGAGATTTTCAATCCATCATCTATATCTTCAGCATCCATGGTATGGGACAGCAAAGACACTTGTTCTACGTTTGACACCGTCTGTGACTCACACTTGGACAAGTTATTCCCCTCATCAGTTTTCTCAGTTCGGGCGGGCTACATATGATTTTAACATATTTACACAAACGTGTCTTCCGTCGTCGTTCCGGGGTATTGACTATATAATCCGTGTCACTTAGCTTGCTCTTAATCACACAGCTTTCAACCCAGGCCAAAAAAAATGTTGGAGCACCCGAGTGTACGTTTTATTTATACCAAGGTGCCCAGACCAAGGATGATCATGTGCCAAACTCAAAATATGCTATCGAAATTTCAAGGGTACCACAATCTGATGGATCACATTCCAATCATCCGAATTTTCATCACTCGACAATCGAGCCTTCCAGCTACGCATTAACACAGTGTTATTCCAATAAAACTGATGGTTATGCGAAGGTGATATTTTTCTGTCAACACTTAGACGACACTTCTCTAACGTATGATCACTTTTTTGAGCCTCAGTAAGAACATCGCATGAAATAGGTAAAAATACGTCAGGATCTGGACAGACAGACTTTTGGATCGGTTTAACATCCACATTCTCAGAAAATGTATTTTTCTCAAACATCTCTGCAAAAATAGACTCACCTAAATTCACTTCATTCTCCTTAGCCAGACTTTTCGCCTGAGCGCGTGTCGTAACTGCACTAGAAGCAAAAACAGTTGGGAAATGTTGTGCAAGCGCATCGGGTTGTTGACCAATGAACGGAGTATTAGTAACATGCACAACTGGCATTACTTTTCTAGCCTCGTGAGACCATCCTGATCTCGCGAGCTTTCAAGGTTTCACTCGCAGATCAGTCTGGATACTTTCCGTTAAAGAAAATTTGGGAGCAGTTCACCAAACGAACGTCCAATCAGCGTTGGCTTTGAGGCGGGTTGAGGTGTGACGCAACGAGAAGCGCGTCAGTTCAGTCTAAAGAACATGTCGGCTTCAGCGGATGAAACTAGCATCAGCGTGGCTATCGAGCAAGTTTTATCGGAATTACAGAGTATTTCTTCACTGAAAGAAGAGCAAAACACTGCTCTGGAGGCTTTTCTCAGAGGAAAAGATACGCTCTGTTAGTACGTCATATGCTTCGTTGATCTGATTGGTTGATTTGGCCCGTCTATCACCAACATAGGCCAATCAGCTAACCAGTATTTTCGCCCCTTACCAAAACTACTTCAACGGAAGGTTTCCAGATGGATATGCGGAGCAAATCCATCTGGCGGAGTCAGGTTATTACTTTTCCTCCAGCGAGATAATTTCCCATGATGAAATCAACACCTTTCACAGGTAGGGAAGAATGGGCCGCTACATTAAAACATCCAGAGACTAAATCAGACGACACCCAGACGCGATGAAGAGGTACAGTTATAAAACCCATTTCTATTCCCTGTACGATAGTGCTGGTATCACATGCAGACTTCGCACAAAAAGGCAAAGTGTCGGACAGTGTAAAGGACTGTGATCCCTCTGTATCATGCAAGATATTCATAACCCTCTGATCCTCAACACGACCAGTCAATGATACATAACCGTCAAACACGAAAGGTTTAAAACACTTGTCAGGAACTACAGGAGTCGTAGACTGCTGCTGAGACACAACTTTTACTAAAACTGAACCGCGAGGTTGAGTTGAAAAATCCTGATGCTCTTGCTTTCGTTTTAAAATTCGACACTCAGCAATAATATGTCCCATCTTATGACAATAGCCACACTCTTTACGAGTGTTCGGGCTAGATGGATTAGGCCTGATTTTAAAGTCAGAAGAATTAACTTTATTTTCTCTTTGTGAGGTGTATCCCAAATCACTAGAACGCTTTACAAACACAGGTTTATGAATTAATGCGTACTCGTCTGCCAAGACAGCTGCTTGTTGCACAGTTCTAACCTTTTGTTCATTTAGGTACAAAGCAATACGCTCCGGAACACAATTCTTGAACTCCTCAATGAGCAAAAATTCACACAAAGATTGATAGTCTGTGACTTTACACGCTTTTATCCATCGGTCAAAAAGTATACCCTTCTCGCGGGCAAACTCGACATATGTCTGAGAAGCAGATTTTTTCGTTGTGCGAAACCGTTGTCTATAATGTTCGGCACTAATTCATAGGCACGGAGAATCGCATTTTTCTCATATTAACCAAGTTTATATGTCGGACAAAAACGACGATAAAACCTGTTGTAAAGCATCTTTTGCAGCGATTTTTGTGTGAGCATATCAGTGAGCACCCCAGACCACTCGGTAAGTTTAACGTCTTTGTAAACTAAAGTTTAATGCGTTTTAGGAAGGATTGTTCCAGTGCACCTATGCAACCATTGTGGAGGTGGGGGGGTGCAACCACAGAAACCGAATATTCTCGGGACAGCAGCATGTATCCAATTTTAATCTTAACCATTCTATTTCATCAGAAACGATCTTAAAACAGGGCTTTAAGTGTAAAATACCGAACTTGTCCTTTAAGAAAATCACTGGCAAGCGTAAGGCACCATGGAGAAACACATCCGTAGTGCAATACATGAAAAGAAAATGCAGGAAAGCTGAACACATGGGGTTTAAAACAAAGCTAAAAGTCCATTACAACATCTATAAAGAGTGTCTTAACGCTAAAAATATGGGACTTCACACTGCCAGGCATGTCCGGAATCTTGGTGTTATTCTGGAGTCTAATCTTCGCTTTGAGAGCTATGTCAAAGCTATAACCAAATCAGCATACTACCATCTAAAAAACAGCACTAATCAGATCTCTGTCCAAGAAAAAAAAAATTGGCCAAAATGTTTAGAAGTTATCTGCAAAAATAGCCAGTTTTCATTTCTCCTGACCACTAGGTGGCACTGCACTGAAACGTTGGGGCACGGTTGTCATAACACACACCAAGTTTGGTCAGAATACGCTAAAACGTTGCAGCCTCATGTCCGTTTTTGCATGCTCTTTACTGAACACGTGTTATTCAAAAACGGTTTGACTAATCCACTTGAATTCCATAAATTTTGTCGGCATCGTCTGAAGATGATCCGATTCAATTTCCATGAAAATTGGAGCAACAAAAATTACAATTTTCTTTCTAGCCCATATGGTTCGAAAGTTATTAGCATAAATGTGAGTGCAGATCTTCGCACACTGGATACGTCTTTAAAATAAGAAAACATTTATGTTACTTCTGTGCTATTATGCATCTTCTGAAAGAGGACAGAATATCTGGATCAAAACATGTGTGAAAAAGAATTAGAAACAAGTGATTAAAGCATTGCTTATGGTAATGTAAACTAACATGATCTTCAAACATTAAACCGCATATAGATCGAAATTGCCTAATGCTACCGAATGAAATGTCGTCTCAGCACAAGGTATAGGACTGTTCAAGCTTTGGGGGTGCTGATGGAAGAAATAAATTATGAATCATCGTTATGAATCCGATCCGGACTTAGTCTTTGACAAAAATGCTATTTTCTCTGCTTTTTGTTCAAAATGTTGCTTTTTTTATTTATAAAACTTACCCACCCACACAAACAACCAACAAACAAGTCTCAAGTCCCCAACAAACTCTCAACACTAAAGAAAAAGGAAATACTATAAACAAAGCAGAAATATTAACAACATCAGTAAAGCGTGTTTAATTGACCTATCGCTCAGAACTGATACCCAGACAATCTCAAAGTATGTTACAAAATGTACCGGTTGTTCAGCACTCATACACGGCCACCAGACCATAAAGGTACAGTTGCCAAAAAATCGGTCTGCCTTACTTCCCTGACAGCAAGTGAAAACGCTGTCAAACCACAACCACTCAAACGCAAAAAAAAAAAAAAAAAATGCACAGAACACACCTACTTGTCCGTGAAAGGTGAAGACGCAACCACAACTTCTGTTGAAGCAACTCTTAAGGCCAATTTATACTTCTGCGTCGGGTGCGCGCAGTAGGTACGGCGTAGCATACGCACAGACGCGTACCATACGCCGTACCCTTCGCCGTAACCTGACGCGCACCTCCTCAAAAATGTAACTACACGTCGCGACGACGCGGACCGCAAGATCTGTGATTGGTCGGCTTGGTAGCATCGCGTTTCCTCCTATGCATTTCCGGCGTGTTCTTCTGCACCGCCCGCCATTTTTAAATTCTAAGTACAGCGAAACTGTTAAAAAAACTAAAAATTTACCTTTTCCACCTCGATAAGCTCCAACTCCAACATGATCTGCTCTCTTTCAGTCGCCATTGCTTGTAGTAACCTAAACTCAAAACAGCCGCGAGGAATCTTCTTCTTCTTGCCGCGAGGAATCTAAACACAGTGGAACATTAAAACCCTCCGCCGCCAACTAGCGTTTCGGCGCTGTACTGCAGAGCAACGCAGACCTAAACGCAGAAGTATAAATGCTCATGACGGCGTTGCCTACGTGCGTAGCCTACGCCGTACTACGGCGTACACTCGACGCAGAAGTATAAATTGGCCTTTATCTGAAACTTATCACTTGCTGTTTTAATCATATTTAATAAACTTAATACCCCACAAAACCATGATCAGCCTCCAAATCAAGAAAAGCTTGATTTTTATTTTTTATTATTATTTTTTAAGAAATTCCTGTTGATCACATAAACTCTTTGTCTATGGTGACTGATAATACCCATCAACCTTCATCATGTTTTGCTTCTGTGATTTGTTTTCAAATAAATGTCTTGTTTGTTACAACTGAGAGCAAATAAAAAGGAGGTGTTGTTAATGATTTCATGAGGATGTGATTTATATAAATGTTTTTATGTCTCACTTCTCAGCAGGAGCTCTGATATTTGGCTGTACCATTGCCCTGTGCTTTCTGATAAGGGACCTCATGTTTTACGTGATTGGTGAGTCAATTGCCTGACGCCATTACTTTAAAGTTTAATTATGTAGTTCCAAAATGTGTGTAAATGGCTTAGTTCACGCAAAAAAAAATTATTCTGTCATTAATTACTCATGTTGTTCCAAACCCGCAAGACCTTTGTTCGTCTTCAGAACACAAAGTAATATATTTTTGATGAAATCTGAGAGCTTTTTGTCAGAGACTGACACAGAAGAGAAGAAATTGCTGAATAAATTTGTTATTTTAGTTTTTATTCTCGGCGCTTCATAACATCAAGGTTGAACCAATGTATTCACATGGACTACGGTATTTCAACTATGTCTTTACTACCTTTCTGGGCCTTGAAAGTGGTAATAACGTTGCAGTCTATGGGGGGTCAGAAAGCTCTCGAATTTCATCAAACATATCTTCATTTGTGTTCTGAAGATGAACGAAGGTCTTACAGGTTTGGAATGACATGAGGGTGAGTAATTAATGACAGAAATGTCATTTTTGTGTGAACTAACCCTTTAACACAAATATTTTTGTTTGTAAATGATTTGCATGATAACGATAAATATGCATAAAAATGATCAGTAAGTCATTTTTACTAAACTGTGCTAGTAGGAAATTTAATTTTATGTTTTAAAATATAATTGTTTCCTTTAGTTGTAATGATCCAATGTTTGCACAGCATTTTTGGAAAAGAATCTAATGTGCCTTAAAGTTTTACACAGTACTGTGTGTATATATATATATATATATATATATATATATATATATATATTGTATATGTAAATGTATACACTCACCGGCCACTTTATTAGGTACACCTGTCCAACTGCTCGTTAACACTTAATTTCTAAGCAGCCAATCACATGGCGGCAACTCAGTGCATTTAGGCATGTAGACATGGTCAAGACAATCTCCTGCAGTTCAAACCGAGCATCAGTATGGGGAAGAAAGTTGATTTGAGTGACTTTGAACGTGGCATGATTGTTGGTGCCAGAAGGGCTGGTCTGAGTATTTCAGAAACTGCTAATCTACTGGGATTTTCACGCACAACCATCTCTAGGGTTTACAGAGAATGGTCCGAAAAAGAAAAAACATCCAGTGAGCGGCAGTTCTGTGGGCGGAAATGCCTTGTTGATGCCAGAGGTCAGAGGAGAATGGCCAGACTGGTTCGAGCTGATAGAAGGGCAACAGTGACTGAAATAACCACTCGTTACAACCGAGGTATGCAGCAAAGCATTTGTGAAGCCACAACACGCACAACCTTGAGGCGGATGGGCTACAACAGCAGAAGACTCCACCGGGTACCACTCATCTCCACTACAAATAGGAAAAAGAGGCTACAATTTGCAAGAGCTCACCAAAATTGAACAGTTGAAGACTGGAAAAATGTTGCCTGGTCTGATGAGTCTCGATTTCTGTTGAGACATTCAGATGTTAGAGTCAGAATTTGGCGTAAACAGAATGAGAACATGGAACCATCATGCCTTGTTACCACTGTGCAGGCTGCTGGTGGTGGTGTAATGGTGTGGGGGATGTTTTCCTGGCACACTTTAGGCCCCTTAGTGCCAATTGGGCATCGTTTAAATGCCACGGCCTACCTGAGCATTGTTTCTGACCATGTCCATCCCTTTATGGCCACCATGTACCCATCCTCTGATGGCTACTTCCACCATGTCACAAAGCTCTAATCATTTCAAATTGGTTTCTTGAACATGACAATGAGTTCACTGTACTAAAATGGCCTCCACAGTCACCAGATCTCAACCCAATAGAGCATCTTTGGGATGTGGTGGAACGGAAGATTCGCATCATGGATGTGCAGCCGACAAATCTGCGGCAACTGTGTGATGCCATCATGTCAATATGGACCAAACTCCCTGAGGAATGCTTCCAGCACCTTGTTGAATCTATGCCACGAAGAATTGAGGCAGTTCTGAAGGCAAAAGGGGGTCCAACCCGTTACTAGCATGGGGTACCTAATAAAGTGGCCGGTGAGTGTATATGTTCTTTGTTTTTCTTTTATTAGTTCAGTTTACTGTTTTCTGGGTTCATTGCATTAATGGATCATTACATTAAAGGGCCAATTCACCATTTATTCACTGTTATGTTTTTTTCCAAACTTGTATAACTTTTTTTTTCATAAAACACAAAAGGAAAAATGTTGAACATTGTTTACATTGTTCATTCCTATCCAGCATACGCATACAGGGACCAGGGGCTGTTAAGATGTTGGTTTAAGTTTCATTCATTAATGTTAATGATTGATGCTCAATCATAAAAGTTTGCAACGATTTAAATGGTTATTTGTTTAAAGTCAGGAATTTCGCCTGCTTATTAAAAGTTATGTTATTCTTCATTAAAGCTCAGATCAGCTGACAAACGATTCTTCACAATGGTTCTTCTGAAATCTGAATACAGATTTATGCTTTGTAAGGCATGTGCATACAACTTAATTCGCCATTTATAGTTATTCACTGTGGATATGTTATAATGTAAACAGTATCATACTGTTTTTATTCATACAGTAACTAAATGATTCAACAGTGTTTTTGTTGACAGCGTGTATTTCGAAGCATTAAAGATAATGACTTAAACATTGGTTAAATTAATAATTAGCTCAACAATATTAATAAAACTTCATTCAAATGCAGTCTGAAGTGCATGTTGGTCAACAAAAGACTTCAGGAAATAATATACACTTTTCACAACTTATTCAGAGAAATGACGCTGACTGCGTATGGATTTAAAGACATGAAGGTTTGTTTCCAAGCAGTTATACTGTCGCTCTGAGCAAAATTATGCATGGTAAACCTTTTAAACATAATATAGTGCAATTTAGTAATAGGTATTGTATGTTTTGTAATATTTAATGTATATTCTAATCAATTTCTGCTAATAATCCCAGATATATGTTCATGCTTATTATTTATTTCCTGCATGAATACATACATAAAGAAATCTATTTTGTGCTAGTTCAGTTACCTGTGTCGGAAGTGTGCAATAGACACACCCATCTTCTCTATATATCGTTTATCCTGCCCGAAAAGACCATAAACTTTTCAGATAATGTTTTAATTATCAATTAATGTACATACATACACTCACCTAAAGGATTATTAGGAACACCTGTTCAATCTCTCATTAATGCAATTATCTAATCAACCAATCACATGGCAGTTGCTTCAATGCATTTAGGGGTGTGGTCCTGGTCAAGACAATCTCCTGAACTCCAAACTGAATGTCAGAATGGGAAAGAAAGGTGATTTAAGCAATTTTGAGCGTGGCATGGTTGTTGGTGCCAGACGGGCCGGTCTGAGTATTTCACAATCTGCTCAGTTACTGGGATTTTCACGCACAACCATTTCTAGGGTTTACAAAGAATGGTGTGAAAAGGGAAAAACATCCAGTATGCGGCAGTCCTGTGGACGAAAATGCCTTGTTGATGCTAGAGGTCAGAGGAGAATGGGCCGACTGATTCAAGCTGATCACAGCCACAGTCACCAGATCTCAACCCAATAGAGCATCTTTGGGATGTGGTGGAACGGGAGCTTCGTGCCCTGGATGTGCATCCCACAAATCTCCATCAACTGCAAGATGCTATCCTATCAATATGGGCCAACATTTCTAAAGAATGCTTTCAGCACCTTGTTGAATCAATGCCACCTAGAATTAAGGCAGTTCTGAAGGCGAAAGGGGGTCGAACACAGTATTAGTATGGTGTTCCTAATAATCCTTTAGGTGAGTGTATATCTTAAAAACTATTCATACTGATATGCTCCAAATCGGGTGATTATAGGTCAATGTTTTGGCTGTAAGTTAATGATGACCTCTGTCGGTAGGGAATCGTAAGATGGCCACTCGAACTTCCTGTGGCTTCACCGCCCGCTTGCAGTCTAGAACACAATGAGCAATCCAGTTATTTATTTAGATCAGTGGCTGCGCGGCTTAATCGCACTTTTGGAGCATTTGCAGTGTGGTGGAATTATCGGGAAAAGTCCCAGTGCTCCGGGTCAACAAATATAAGGGTCTAGCCTAGCGTATGTACGGAGCGCGTTCAGCTCTCGAGGGAGCGGATTGTATTCATTGTAACTCATTTGCTGTGAGAAGCTCCGCTCTAGCATTTGATAATATGGCGTGTCTAGTTCTGAGAGATTATAGGCAGAAAGAGTTGAGGCAGGTGTTAAATAATAAACTGCTTCTTCCGCTGCCCCACATATAAGTGTATATGAGCCTTGTTCTTCCTATATTTTCACATTAAGGTGTCGAGGTAATGGAGGAATTTGCAATAGCGATATGCAAGGATACCCCAGTTGAATAGCTGCTTAACAGCTATCTCTTTCCTGATGTTGCATACTCTGTGATGGCTCCCACCTTGCCAACAGAGCGAGCGTGTTCAGGTCTTGAGGGGGCTGAATGCACTCGCTGTTGTGAGCCACTGTGAGGGAGCTCCCCTTCACGGTTCAGGCACAGTGTCTGCTAAAGTAGCAAAATGGCAGCTGCTATCGTGGGCTAATAGGTGGGCAGAGTAGAGGCATATATTATCTAAGTGTTCTCCTCTGAGGCTTTAATATAAAAGCAACCATTGCAACTATATTTTGCCACTGTCGTATTTGCATCCCTTCGATGCATTCTCCCCCTGGAAGTAGTGCTAATATCCAAGGTTGTAGTTGAAAATATTCTCCCTTTGATGGATACTCCCTAAGGGCTGTGCCAAGGCAAAAGAACAGCTGACATAGCTTAGCCATTTATTCCTTAGAGCTTTGTTCTTGGGCCCTCATAAGGCTAACGCCTAGCCTGCAAGGGAGGCCCCAAAACATCCCTTGTAATAAGAGCATAGAGGCTTGGGTATCATCATCTATGTTTGGAAGATAGTGGCTTAGGGCAGGGGTATTCAATTAAAGTTCCAAGAGGTTTTTTTTTTACATTTAGACACCTACGTGGATGGCACATCGATGGCCCGCTAGTGACGATATGGACTGCCGTTGGCCAATAAAATTGGCGTGTCTGTCACTCGTGCTTCAGACACCGTTGATGGTGTTCTAATCCAAGACGCAGTGTCTCATTTCCCTTCTCAGGGAACCATGGTTACAGTTGTAACCTGAGACGATTTATTTGGAGACAATTCAAGACAAGTGTGTACTATTTCACATTATCTTGATAATTAGTTAATTCTGAACACAGCCACATACATAAATATGTGCAAATTTATGCAGTTAGGTTACTTTAAGCTTTTATTTGTATGTTTTTTTATTACTGTTTCACTAACATTTATCAGTCAGTTATTTTTAGTATGGTGTGTTTTGACAGCTGTTTTAAAGACAGCATTCATGTTGTTTCATGCTGTTGGCTTGTGTGAAAAAATAGTTTACCATTTCAAATTTTTACATTTACAAATTCTGTTTTTAAAGGCTCATTTACTCTCTTTAGGTGGAATAACTGTTTCCATCATCGCATTCGTCTTCACCATCAAGTTTCTGTGTGAGCTTGCTGCTCGTGTGGTCAGCTTCTTACAGAATGATGACCCTACCCGTCATGGGGACCGCAGTATCTACGACTATGTGCGGGGTAATTATTTGGACCCACGCTCATGCAAGGTCTCCTGGGACTGGAAAGAGCCACAGGAAGTCGGTCAAACCATGAGTTTCCGAGTGCAGGTAACAAATCATAAGCTTTTCACAAATATATATGTATATTTTTTTTTATAACACTTTAGATTAGGGTCCAATTCTTACTTTTAACTATGACTTTTGCCTCAATTAACTCCTAATTACTGCTTATTAATAGTTAGTAAGGTAGTTGTTAAGTTTAGGTATTGGGTAGGAGGATTAAGGCCCTTTCACACCGGACGCGTAACGGAAAAGCGAAACGGAAAAGCGAATAGTTCGCGTGCGAATAGTTCGCGTCAAAACCATTCACATCAGCCGCGACGCGAATTTGCGACATTCAGAGCTTTAACATTCCAAAACTTTCGCGCCGACAGCTGAGAAAACACGGACACTTCATCATCATCATCATCATCCAGTGAAGACGAGCTTTTCGTTTTCTTTAAAAGACAGAAAAGAATGTTTTGTGTGCATCCAATCTTAAAGAACAGAGAGTCTGAAGGGGAGTATGCTAATCTTGTAAAGTATAGCTAAAACTTTGCCACAAAGAACCGTCCAAAGTAAGGATTAGCCTATGCATTAAACATTTGAATTGTTTATTAATAAACTAGTGTTTTCTGTCAGTTTTCGGTATGAGACGCGCTCCAGTTCATGCGCCGGCGCCTCCGTGTCCTAATTATATTGTCTACTATATTTGCTTCTTATTCCTATTAATCCAGGCAATTTGTTGATGAAACATTGATTAAAAATTAAGATACAATTTATACAAAACGAAATTCACTTTAAAGAAAGGCTTTCTACAAAACAAAACTTAATAAGTGGCCAAAATTATGTCTGACCCATTCCAAATGTTTTTGATATATTGGGTTTCTTATGATCCTTACTCATCTCATGCGGTTCCCTTTTCATATAGCTAATCAACAGATGAAATTTAAAAAATAGCATTATATTATTTAAACGTATATATGAAACGTATGTTTGAGTTTTTTAACTTATAGGCCTATTTAAGCGTCACCCCGCTCCGCTTTACTTACATTCTCTGGTGTGTGGCCTATACATGCATGCAAAAATAATATGAAACACACAACCATGAATGTTGAAAATATTCAAAATCAATTATTTCCCTCCTAGTCAAAAATATTATAAATCATCAGCACGCACTTCATCAACTCGCCAGAGACACCAACTATCCCTGCTATTTTATCCCATGCCTCGTTCTTTTGTAAACTGGTCCCTATAAGCAAACAACGTCATGTCATAAATGATAGGGTATGCGTGCGTTGAGATGCGGAATAGGCAATATAAAAATGCTGTCATTATAAAAGGTTTCTAGTTTCAATGTGTTGCTTGTTTTTAGTTTACATTTCATGTTGTGACACTTCTCTTCTCTCGCACATAATGCTGCTACGTCAGAGCGGCCAAAGCGTCAACAAGCTTCACCTCCTTGTATGTGATTGGCTGAAGCCTTTTCTGTCGCCGCAAAAGTAAAAAAAAAATCGACATCAAAGCGAAACAAATAAAAGTAGTTTTTTCGCCGCAGAACATTCACGTTCGGTGTGGAAGCACTCATTACACAAACAGCTGATCAAAAAATAAAACTATCGCGCGAATTATTCGTGCGTCAAAATCGCGTCCAGTGTGAAAGGACCTTTAGGGATGTAGAATATGATCATGCAGAACAAGGCCCCGATCAGACAGAACGTCTTTTTCAGGTTTGAAAACGCAAGGCGCACAGCACTGACTTTTTTTTGTTGACTTTTTTTTATTTAGAAAAGAGCAGTGCGCTGCGGTTTTTTTATGTTGTTAGACAACCACCGAAACAGCTGTCCTCAGTCTAATCAAGAATTATAGCGCTAGCGCTCTTTGGTTTGCGGTTAAGTAAACTGTCATATTAGCGTTTTATTACTTTGTGTTAACATTGTGGTAGTTGCAATTCGTGAAGTCATTCAGCTCCGGGTAACCCGTGACAGCCACCACAAGTTTCTCCTCCATCATTGCAGTCTCCATGCGTTCAAAGCAACTGTAAACTTTCGTCACTACAATGGAAGGCCCGCCTCTCCATTCATTCGATTGGAAGTGGAAAAAAACGCGATGACATCGGGCGCTTTTTTGCTCATAGTTGATTTTTTTTTTTTTACTTCAGGTGCTCAGAGCGCTCCTACAAAAACCCGAGGCACAGCGGGCGGTTAAAACGCGCAAAACGCTCACTGCCAATAGAAAACAATTTTAAAAAGGCGCCTCTCACTGCAAAATACGCGTTCTGTGTGATCGGGGCCTAAGGCATGAAAATGAATAAATGCTTTATAAGTACTAATAAAAAGCCAATATCCTAGTAATATGCACACTAATAAGCAACTAGGTAATAGTGAGAATTGGACCCTAAACTAAAGTGTTACCTATTTTATTTTTATTTTTGTCACATTTTTCAAATTTTGTACTGACTATATATTGGGTACTTCATGCAGCTCAATTGATATAAATGCAGTATTGTGTATTAGATGTTTTGAAATCTTTCTCACAGCTCTTCTACAAAAATGGCCAGCCATTTCCTGCACATAGACCTGTGGGACTGAGGGTGAACATCACTCACATAGAGCTGGCTTTAGAAGTCCCTGTCACCCAGGAAGTCCTTCAAGAGCCTGAATCTAATGTAGTCAAAGTGGCCTTCACTGTACGTAAGGCTGGACGCTACGAGGTAGCTGTAAAACTTGGAGGCTTGAATGTGGCCTACAGCCCTTACTACAAAATATTCCAACCAGGTAAAATGCAAGTACAGATTCCTAATGCTCACTTTTATACAAGCCTAACAAGCTTTCATCCTAGAAGTATGCATACACTGTAATGTCAGAATTTGCATACTATGTATTCATATTACTCATAATCATATGCCTATTAGCAAGATTGATGCATGAGCTTCATCCATGTCTTCATCTGATGCAACCAATTTTTTATTATTTTTCAATGATCAAAACCTTCTTTATACTTGTGTGTCTGTTTTGGATGCCAAAAGATGGAATCGGACAGTATATTTAAGCAAAAGTCAACAATTTATGAAAGCTTGTATATGTGTGTTTTTAGTGAGCACCTTAAAGATAATAGGCTGCTTAATTTGCTAAAAACAAAATTTATAGACCTAAAACTGGAGATAATTTTGAACAATATGAAGAATTAAATAGCACAAGAGATAATAATAGGCAGTATAAAGTATTTAAAGATTCCCACAACACCAGAGACCATAATGATGTAACACTATGAAGTAATCAAGCAAATTCAACTGCCACAAATCATTTTGAACAATATGAAGAATTTAGACAGAATAAAATCAGAATGTAACTACATATAAACAGCTCATGGGATAATTATGAGCATTATGAAGAATGTGAACATTCACACAGTACAAATCATTTTTGATGTAAACATCTTTAAACATATTCAACCAGCACAAGAGATAATTTTGAACAATATAAGATTTTAAACTTCAACAGAAAACGTTGAGCAATTTGAAGAATTTAAATATTCACACAGCACCAGAGATCATTGTGATGTAACAGCATAATGTCTTTAAACACATTCAACCAATAAAAATTAGCAGTTTATTGAATAATCTTAAAGCTTCTTATAGCACAGTATAGTATAGAAGTAAAATTACATCAAAGTGCAATAGAATCCCCTTAAGCCAAGGAATCATAGGGAAAAAGAATTTTGTTATTAGCATAAACATGGGTGCAAATTTGGACCGTTGATTGCACTATAAAGCTTCTTATAGCACAGTATAATATAGAAGTAAAATTACATCAAAGTGCAATAGAATCGCCTTAAGCCAAGGAATCATAGGGAAAAAGAATTTTGTTATTAGCATAAACATGGGTGCAAATTTGGACCGTTGGTTGCAGTAGACGGATTGAGTTAGAGACTCCAAAATGGCTGTGGTTAATGTTCAGACAGTCCTCTATCTGTGGGAATGTCTCCCTACAGCTTGGCTAGCCAAAATAGCAACCACATAAACTTCATAGCAGGGGTCAAACCTCCTGCAAGACACTCCTGCAGGAACTCTAGCACTGAACCAATTGGACAGTGAACTGGTTTCAAATTATGCTGTTTGCACCGCGTGCAAAGAGTTGCGATTTCAGTGCATATAGTTTCATCATCATCATCATCTAAATGTCAAACTGCTAATTCCTTTGAGCTAATATCATCCAGTTATCGATGTAATTTAGAACACTGACGCCCTGAAGTCGCAGCAGAGCCAGGGTCGCATCCATGCACTTTGTGAAGGTGCAAGGTGACAAGGTTATATCGAAGAGAAGAACCCAGTACTGGTATGCCTCACCTCTGAAAGCAAATCTGAGGAACTTCCTGAGTTCTGGCAGGATTTCGATATGAAATTATGCATCCTGTAGATCTATCGTGACAAACAAGTCTTATGACTGGATTTGTGACACTATAGGCTTGAGCGTTAACATCTTGAAAATGCTTGTCTTCAGATTTCGGTTCAGAAAATGCAGATCTAGAATCGGGGCACAAAACCCTGTTTTTTTTTAACCAGAAAATAACCGCTGTAGAAGCCAGACTCTCTTAAGGGAAGGGGGAAATTTTTTTATGGCCCCTTTGCCTAAAAAAAGATTGTGGTTCTAGCGTTAGTATTGGGACCTTCTCCGTGCTTACCACAGTGGGGGGCATGCCTTTGAAACGCTGTGAATGAGTGTTGAACTGAATTCTATACCCTTTTGCTATAGTCTGCAGCAGGGGCGTAGCACAAGATCCCGGGCCCTATGCATAGGCAGTCCTGATGGGCCCCACAATGCAATGCAAACAGCCTATTCATTTAAAATTAAACATGTTTCAAATTAGGCTATTATAATGAAGTTTTGTATGCAAACAGCATTATTAGTGTACAGTTTACATGTATAACCAAATTATCATCTGAAAGTGTATGTGGCAGAACATACACTTTCAGATGATAATTTGGTTATATGTAATCTGAGGTAAAGGCTAAATAAATAAACTGTACACTAATAATGCTGTTTGCATACAAAACTTCATTATAATAGCCTAATCTGAAACATGTTTAATTTTAAATTAATAGGCTATAATATCTAAAATTAGCAATAATAGGCTAATCAGTGTCACTCATAGGTAGCTTGGTAGCTCTGTAGCTACAGTGAAACTCGAAAAATTAGAATTTTTCTGCTCTTTCATTGGGTTGTCTCAGTTCATTTTTAGCACTAACGATCGCGGAGATATTCAAGCAGTTTAGCACAATAAATTTCGTGTTCTGGTTTGTGCTCACTTTTCTTTGAAAAGAAGTCAGTAACCAATTGTTTCCCCTCATTTTCTTTTCTTTCCTTCTCCTGTCTTTACTTTCTTTTTTGGTGGCCTGATTTAGCTTTCTTTGAGAAAGACATTTTTCCAGCGCTCAACGAGATGCAGCTCAACTAACATTTACAAAATGCGTGCAGATGGACTAAACCATTTGGCGCATTAACAAGGGGTGGGACCATAAGACCGTCAATCAATCAATCAACCAATCAACCAAGTTATTCAGTTAATACACTAACTTTACATTTCATCTGACATTCATTATGAAATTTAATTAGGAAATGAAAATATCAAGGTAAAATAAAATATATTCCAGACTTTTCAAGGGCCCTCTCTCCCCTTGGGGCCCTGGTAATCAGTACTGGTTTTACCCCCAGTCCGACGCCCCTGGTCTGCAGGACCCAATAAGAAACATTTGGCAGAAGTTGCCACACTTCCAGATGCACTGAAATAGGTGTAAATTTGTTGATATTGAGAAGAGGGGTTGGTTTGATGCCATGAAACATCTAGGTGGCAGGGAACAACTGAACATATTTTGTTGGGGACTCATTGAGTGGGGAATGCCTGACACTGTCAATGGGGGAAGACTGCCCTGGTGCCTCCGTGCCCAGTCTCTGCAATTTTAGGCATGTAGGCATGGGCAGCCACACTGGCCCTCTGGTCCTACCTATAAGAGCTCGGGTCAATCTGGGACTGGCTGGGCGAGGCTACCAACTCCTGGAAATGGTGAGGGATGAATTGCCTTAACCCTCTGGGGTCTGAGGTGTTTTCTGGGTCCTGGAGGTGTTCTGACATACTCTGACATTTGTGCTTATTTCTGTTACTTGTGACATTTTCATGGCTAAAGTCTGATTACACTGTATTCAGCACAAACTCTGCTGCTACAAAAATATGTCAGCAGCATGTAGGTAAAAGTTTGTAGTTTTGAGATAATGACGTTTATGTGTGGTTTGTGAAAAAACTAAAAAGAATTGTCACTGAAATAAGGTCATGAAACCCATACTGATTATTTCTTTACAAGACTTTTGAAAATTGTATCACGTAGCCTAGAATATTTGCTCCAAAACTGTGAAAATCATCCTGACTACTCATTCAGATAAGACAATAAAGTCATTTATAATTTGTATGACGTCTTTTGTGTAAGAAAGCTTTATGCGTGATCTCTCATTAATATTACTGCTTTTCACACCTGAGAAAGACAAAGACCCTCCCATAATGGCCCTATTAGGTGCTATCAGGCCCTATCATTATGAGGAGCCTTGCACAAAGAATGAGGAGATTTAAAAAAGAATGGCTTTTAGATTGTTTGGATTTATTTACAACACAACATAATCCAAAAATACACAACAAAGGACAAAAAAGCACATTAGTAAACACACTGATCTAAAGACAGAGGCTTGAACAGTCACACAACTTTGTGCCATTCCTGAAACATAGTACATACCTGTCATTTCCAAGGTGTTTGATTTTTCATTTTACCATGTAAATGTACAGAGCCTCCTGTGAATGTTGAAGGTAGCAGGACTCATCAGTGGGGCATCTGGTCCCTGTAAAAACTAAAATAAAAAAATAAACACCTGTGAACATGCTGATATCAAGAGAAACTATTTGGCTGCACGACTTTGGGCATACATTGTAGATTTTTCTGGTTAAAATTGCGATTTAATTATGTGTATATATATATATATATATATATATATATATATATATACACACACACACACACACACACGCAGTGCTTAGAATAAGTGAACACACCCATGTTAAAGTTGACTAAAAAGAGGAATAAAAAAATCATCTTAATGCCTTAATTCAAAAAATGAGGAAAACTCCAACCTTTAGGGACACCAATTTTCTTTGTGAATGAATAATGTATCGCAAATAAATAAATGTTTTTCCTTAAAATACAGGGTGTATACGTCTGGACACCCCTATGTTAAATTCCCATGGAGGCAGGCAGATTTTTATTTTTAAAGGCCAGTTATTTCATGGATCCAGGACACTATGCATCCTGATAAAGTTATCTTGGCCTTTAGAATTAAAATAGCCCCACATCATCACATACCCTTTACCATATAGACATGGTTTTATTTCAGATTTCATAAATTTTAGTCTAGCAACAGTTCAACTGGAATGTTAAGTTTATGCAACAATAACACTAACTAATATAATTCATAATACATTTCTTACCTTACATCTTTCTTGTCTTCAAATCGCGTTCTTCTTCTTCTGAGGTAAATCCAATGTAAGATCACTGCATGTCTTTCAAACTCGACGAAAAGCAGAGGACTGATGAAGTTTGGTGCTTTGTTTTTTTAGGTAATGAGCGCGTTCGCGTTCCTTCGTGCAGATTTGCATATCAATCTCTTTTGCGCTCGTGGGCGTGGTCAAATTAAAAATAATGAGCAAGTGTTTGAGAAACTGGACATCTTGTTGGTTT